CGCTATTTTCTTCTTCTTCAATAAATCTCATTTTGATCTTGTTCCCTGTTAATATCTTTGAATCTACTATAATTGGAGTCGGAAATACCAGAATCTATCAGGTAGAAAAGACATCGTCGGCAAACATCATGCACCACGGTATATCTTCGTAAATTGACTTCGTAAGTTCATTCATGACTATATCAAATAAGAAAGGACTCGGAGCAGATCCTTGGTGCACTCCGATAGTAATAGGGAACTCTGCGGTCCTCCCTACATTAGTGCGGACACTTGTAGTACAAGCATCATACATATCCATGATGATACTGATATACTTACGTGATATGCCTTTTCTAGTTAAGGCCCACCACAGGACTTCTCGAGGTACCCTATCATATATTCATATGCCTTTTCTAAGTCGATGAACACCAAATGCATATCCTTTTTAATGTCTCTATACTTCTCCATAACTTGTCTAAGAAGGTGAATGGCCTCAGTTGTTGAGCGTCCAGGCATAAAATCAAATTGATTCTCCGAAATTTTCACACTTTTACGAAGTCTTTGCTCAACCACTCGCTCCCAAAGTTTCATGGTGTGACTCATAAGCTTAATCCCTCGATAGTTAGCACATTCTTGTATATCACCTTTATTTTTAAATAAGGGAATGAGAGTACTCTTCCGCTAACTCACTGACATTATGTTGTTTCTCCAAATCATGTTGAAGAAACGTGTTAGCCACTCGATGCCTTTCTCTCCCAAACTTCTCCAAGCCTCGATCGGTATGACATCTGGGCCCACTGCTTTCTTCCGCCACATTTTTCTCATAACCTCTTTAACTTCTGTTGTTTGAATCCTTCTCACGAAGTCTCGATTACCATACACTCTGGTATAGTAAGATCATCAATACATTGCACTTTATTCCCATTGAACAAGGTATCAAAGTATGACCTCCACCTCTCTTTAATTTCTTTGTCCTCCATTAGTACCTTTTGATCGACATCCTTCACACGCTCAACTTTTCTGATATCATGAGTCCTACGATCACGAAGGAGAGCAAGTCTGTATATATCTTTTTCTCCTTCTTTAGAGTCCAACAACTTTACATATAATTCTTTGTTCACTTTTCTTTTGGCTTCCTTCACAACTTTTTTTGCTGTTCTTCGAGTCTCCTTGTACTCCTCTATGTTCCCGTCGCTCCAACTTTTGCCCAATTTCTTATAGCATTCCCTTTTGGTCCTTATTGCTTGTTTCACCTCATCATTCCACAAAGACGTGTCCTTTTTTGGTGGCAGACATCCTTTAGATTCTCCGAGTATCTCCTTCGCCACTTTGTTAATGGTGGACTCCATTCATAACCACACATCATACACATGTGCGTCATTATCAATAGACCATACATCTTTCTCCAACATTTTGTGTGCAAAACTTTGTTGAAGATTCTTCTCGAGCCTGCACCATTTTATCTTTGGCTTTCCTTGTACCTTAGCACGTCTCCTTTTTTTACCTTGAAAATCAAGCACAAGCATCCTATGCTGAGTGACAGCACTCTCACCTGGGATAACCTTATAATCAGTGTAGCTAGTTCTCCAAGTCGTCCGTACTAAAAAGTAGTCAATTTGGGTACTATTAGCTCCACTTCTATAGGTGACAAGGTGAGAGTCTCTTTTCTTGAACCAAGTGTTCATCACAGCCAACTCATATGTCGAGGCAAAATCCAAAATGTTCTTTCCCGCTTCATTTTTAGTGCCAAAGCCATGTCCGCCATGGATACTCTCAAAACCATCACGACTTGGGCCCACATGCCCGTTGAGGTCGCCTCCTATGATCAACTTCTCTCTTCTTGGCACTCGTCGCACCACTTCCTCAAGATCCTCCCGAAATTGTTGAGTGATAGATGCATCCAATCCCACTTGTGGTGCATAGGCACTTACCATTGACACGATCTCATCTCATATTATCAACTTAATGCTCATGATGCGATCGTTCTTCTTAAAGACTTCAACCACACCCTCAACATAATCATGTGTCACCATAGTGCCTACTCCATTTCTGTTCCTCTCTCTCCCCGAGTACCACAACTTAAAACCTTCGGGATTAATCTCACATGCCTTTTCTCCAACCCACTTAGTTTCTTGCATGCACATTATGCTGATATTCCTCCTCTTCATAACCTCAACTATCTCAGATGATCTTCCCGTAAGAGAGCCAACATTCCATGTCCCAAAACGCAATCTAACACCCCGCCTTCTCTTCTTCACACCACATCGACCCCCACCATGCCCTTGCATATTTGACACCATCCCCGGGCATTGGAGTGGCGCGTCGCTTCCGGGTGACGACCTAGCAGCCTTAACATTCTTATCACCACACCCAGGCCTATGAAGTGTGGTGTGCCCTTGCTCATTTGACACCATTCCCAGGCGGAGGGATGACGCGTCACTTACGGGCGACGACCTAGTTGTAACGATATTCATATTTGGATTCATGTCATGTGATGTGACTAAGTGATACTGTTGGTCGTCACACGCCTACCACAACACTCTCCTCCTTTATCCTGGCTTGAGACAGGCATGATACCAAAAAATGATCTCATAGCGGAGTTGCATTATATTCACTGTAAGACAAATAATTCACACCCCAAGTACAAGCTCCTGAGAAAAGTGGTAGAGTAATTTGCTTAAGTACTCTAGATGAGGCCTTTTTAGAGCTATACTCATTCAAATAATGTCACTTGGAATTTAGCCTATTGAATTTAACGGTTTGATGCTGTAACGGATTTTGTTAGTTGAACCTGTTTTTTTCTTTATATGTTATTTAGGGACTCTACAGAAGGGCAATTGAATTGTTTAAAGCTCCTCCACTGGATTTCAAAGGTATGATTGTCTGAAGGAAAGTACAAAGAAGCCTTGCCTTCGCATGTGCTCTTTCTCACACACACAAACACACTCGCACACTTAAAGAGGGGCTGTATTGTACAAGTGCGGGGGTGCTGAGGTTGCATGTCAAAGCAACGGAGGGTTTTTAGGTTTTCAAGAATAGCAAAAATCGGAGTTGCACCATCTGAAAAACCTAGGGTTAGGATTGTGGACAAGATATTAGGACAGCCTCGAAAACATTCTTTTTGAAGATTTCGGATTCCTACAACCCGAAATATACTCCCTCCGTCCCATATTTATCTTCGTAGTTCGGTTTACGATGCTTGACTACGATAAAGCAACTTGATCCCTGTTCACACTCAGATTATTTTTAGTAAATTAAATTTACATATTCAGAAATTACATTAAATCCGCTACAAAGGCTGATCAAGAAAATATAAGTTTGATAAAAATTTAATATACAAAGTAAAAGTTTAAGAGTAATTTGAGTTGACCGTGTGAATAGTAACTATGAAGATAATTTTGGGACGGAGGGAGTATAAAATTATAAATGGTGAATTCGTGATAAGTAGGAACACGCAAGAATGCAAGAGGGCGAGGGAACATCCAAATGCACTGTGCACAAATATCGGTGTTCACTTTTTTTATTTAACACTTTTTATTGGTTATTCTTTGTATATTCATTAATTTTTTGTTCAAGTTATTTTTTATTAACTATTTATTTCAATTTAATTATTTTTAGAAATTTGTGTAAAGGCTTTTGTTTTAGTTTCAAATCATGCTTTGGTTGAAGGTGAGTTAAGACATGATTTTAAAAAGGGATAATTTGAGTTTGCACCTCATCTTATTGTTCAAATTGGACTTTGCACCCCGTTTTTAAACATCTTTGTTTTTGCACCCCAACCTCATATGAAAAAACAAAAAAGTCCCTCCATTAACAATTCTGTTAGCGTTCAACATATTCGTTATTGAGGGCATTTTGGTCTTTTCATATAGGGTTGAGTGCAAAAACAAAGATCTTTAAAAATGGGGTGCAAAGTCCAATTTATACAATAATATGGGGTGCAAACTCAAATTACCCCTTTTAAAAATATAGTGGAAATATTTAAAGATTGGGTTGTTTGGGACTTGGGAGGTGAAAAATTGAAGAGTATTTTATTCATTAAGACGTTAAATATTCGCAACGCTGAAATTTGAGTTTTGTAAAGGAAAAGATTTGGATCCTTTGAAGAATTATGTCTCAGATCCCAACCTACAAATATTCGGATGGTCTAACTCCTTTTCCCGTAAATGAATACCCTAATATCAACTCCGATATTTTGGGAATGGCGGCAGGAAAACCCTGCTCTTCTGTCATTTTTTTCTCCATAAAGAGGAGTTGCAGTGTTTAAATGTGTTAGTTTCCAATTTTTATTTAATTTAACTATAGTGTTTCGCTATAGTGTTTCCACGCTTGACAAAAGATCCACCAGTAATTGATTCTTGAATTATGTGATATATGTACAGGTGCACAAGAGCAAGCTTGTAGGAGAGATTTAATTGCTCTAGTGAGAGGTACCCACTACAGCATTGTGTATGATAAACTTGAAGGCTGGTCATGTGTGCACCTTGCAATTAAAATCATGATACAGATTGTGTGCATGTTTTATGTTCATAAACCTGTATCAAATGCATTGGAAAACTAAAAGAAGTATGATGAATAGATTGTTTGGATCCATTTAGATATCACGCAGAGTTTTAAGTAGGAGCTCGGGTTAATGGATTGATGAGTTTTCTATGAGGGTCACACTGTTTACATAGTAATTCCATACGAAAAGCCCTTTGGTTAAATTACCCCAAGTCCACAAGTCAGTTTCACGATTTTCCCTTCTCATTTGATTGCTTTTGCACAGGTGGTTACGCAGAAATATTGTGTCTGCAACAGAACAGAAAAGGTGAAGGGGAGAGGATGAAGCTTTGGGCTGAATCTGCTTGGAGCAACCCCACACTATCCTTAGCCCAGGCACTCGAACCACCACCATCTAATTCTTCTTCCAAAGTAACTGTTATAGATACCAGAATATGCAGGATCATATAGTCTTCTTTCCTGCTCCTTCACAGTTTGTGTCTCCCTCAGCTCTTCAACCCTCTCATTTCTAGTGAGAACCTTGTATGTGTCTATGTGTCTGTGTTAGGATATTTAGATGACAGTAGTAGTAGACTAGTAGTGCTGTTTTCAGATTTAAACATTTTTGAATGGAACCAATAAAAACAGTGTGCTTTTACAAGGGAGCTTCAATGGAAAACACACCGATATGTTCTCATAATGGAAGATCAAGGCCTTTCCCGACATCAATCCCAATAGCCTGAAGTATTCCCTTATTCAATATCTGAAATAAAATACAATGCAAAGGAAGTCTTAAAACCAATGCCCAAAATTTACATTGATCTTTGGCTGAGTGTACTTGGAGTTCTTTTTTGGCAGTTGGGTTGTGTGTGATTCTTTATCGTTTAATTGAATCCCGGATGCTTTTGCAAAGTTATTGTAGTATTTCTAGCTCCCCACCGCAAAAATATATTTCTAAAATTAATTATACAAAAAAGGAATAGTGAAAATTATGGACTTTAATCCTTAAATATTACTAGTAGTAATCAATTTATAGAAAGTATACTTCTGAAAATGATGAACTTTAAGTCTTTTTTCATTAAAAATCAAGAATATGATAGATTTGTGAAATTAACCATAATTGCGGATATTCTAAGCTAATAACTGATTTGAACCAATGTTTTACTTCCCTCGCACATCCATAGTTTCATTAAATAAATATGAGGAAATCTAAATTTAGGCAGTGAATTTAAGAGATGACTAATATTATTTGATTTTACCTAATCAGTGTTTTCAAGTAGTATACGAAAATAATTTTCCTTGGCATATTGTTTGCCTTTTCTACAACTTTCTCAGATCCAAACATTGCATAAGGAATCGGTAACTGACCATTTCTAAAACGAAAGTTCCAATCAGCCCAATCATACAAGCTCTGGAGTTGTATATTTCAGCTGTTCTTGTAAAACCCAGAAATGGGGGCTCAAGTTTTGGCTGTTCCTTTGGGTAATCCACCTTGAAGAATTGTGTACACATTAGACAGCCTTTTATATTATGAATTCAATTTTTGGGGAAGCGTGAGAGATAGATACCCCGGCAGGAAGCTTTGCAGCTTGAACTTTGAAGGAGATGTGTTTCTTGGAAACTAGATGACTTGCAAGGGAAGCTTGTTGACCTGGAACCGGAAGCCTTGGGGAGACGGAACGCAACGGAAATGGTGGTAGAATTGCTGCCATTTGCTTCTTCACAGTCCTCTTCTTTGCGTGTGTGAGGGTGGGAGGGAGGGCCTTCAAATAATCCTACGCGTTCAATTTTGAGGATTGTTTCCAAGAGAATGGCGTGTTTCTTCTACATCCTTATATTGTTCTTACCGGCCCGGCCCGGTTGACCCGGAAACCGCCGACCGGGTAAATCACCAGTCCTGTACAAGTCAGAACCGGAAAAGGTCAATACCGTAAAACAGGTCAAAATCTGACAGAACTGGTCAATTTGGACCCGGTTAGAGTTCCCGTTTTCTAGATACAAAAGGTGGAATCTCCCACCTCGGAGCTCCCATACCCCGACCCGAAAGGGCACGTGGAATGATTTAAATCGCGTTGACCAAGTGTGACATTAGGTTCATATACCCGTGCGTGCTAGAGATTCAGCCCATTTCAGAGGTCGTAACCTACTAACCTCCACATGATCGCTGCAAGATTCAAACATTTGGTTATCCAAATTTCTCATTACTCAATATTCAAACTATCCGTGCGGGTGAGCTTCCTTTTCCTAATCTATAGTCGTGGATGTTAAAAAAAAAAAAGAGTCGTGGATATAAAGATGAAGAAGATGTCGACATAAGGCCTTCCTTCGATTTCGATATATCCTTTCTCGTCTAATTAAAGTGATAAAAGAGATGTAGATTGAAGAGGACGAATGCCAAAGTATTGATAGGGGTTGTAACTTTGAAATACAGCAAAAAGAAGAAGACGAAGGTTGGGGAAGAGATGAGGACTATGGAGTAGATTGGTAAGTGGGGTTGAGAGGGTTGGGACTTGGGATTTGGAAAAAAAACTGGTGCTGCGTGCTTATTAAAATTGTCCCACCATTGATATAATTACATGTGAAGCAATGGGAAAGAGTCCTCTTAATAGGAGTCTTGACAGATATATTTATAATAGAGAGAGTTATAAAAAATTCTAAGTATTCCTAATTTAATATTAGGCTATTACATTCCCTCAAACTGTGCGGAAGATACAACACACAAGTTATTTTTTAAAAAAGGAAACTACTGACTAAAAAAATTCTTAGTAAATATATCCGCCAACTGAAGACTAGTAGGCACATATTTAACAATGATCACCATGAGCCACGTGCTCACGAACAAAGTGATAATCAATCTGAATATGCTTGCTTCAAGCATGCTAAACTGGATTTGCTGTCAAATAAGAAGTAGAGATATTGTCACAGAATAAATGTACCGGTGCCGTGACAGGAAAGCCAAGCTCGAACAGTATAGACCGAATATGCAATGTGTCCTGGACCGTGTAAGCAATAGCACGATACTCCGCTTCCATATAGGATTTGAAAGAGTAGGTTGCTTCTTGGACTTCCAAGACACAAGATTGGCCCCCAGAAAAAACAGCAAAGCCAATGGTGGAGCGATAAGTATCAAGACAACCAGCCCACCTGCATCTGAATATGCCATAATGCAAGTGGCCTTAGGCGTAGGTTGAAGCCACAGACCATGGTAAATGGTACCCTGCAAATATCTAAAAATCTTCTTGACAGCAAAAAGGTGAGTGGTACGAGGAGCATGCATAAACTGAGAGAGTAAATGCACATCATAAGTAATATCAGGTTTGTCAAAGTTAAATACCGTAATGCACCTACCATACTGCGATACTTAGTCGCATCTGCGAGGAGCTCGCCATCCGTGAGAGATAAAGAAGTACGGGACGCAAGAGGAGTGCGAACAGATTTCACACTATGTAAATGAAATCTACAAAGAAGGCATATTTATGCTGAGAGGGGAACAAACCTTTACTATTACGAGTGGCCTGAATGCCAAGAAAATAATGAAGATCACCTAAGTCTTTCATTGCAAAGTGACGAGCAATAAGGTGAATACACTCAGTGATAACAGGAAGAATTACGAGTAATAATAATATCATTCATATACTCCCTCCGGCCCGTAATAAACTTCCCATTTTGACTTCACACATATTAAGAAAATAATTTTGACTTTACTGTGAAGTGCACTATTTTGCACTGTTTGGGCAATGTTTGGCATTGTTTGGCACTGTTTTGCACTTTTTTGGTGTAGATAGTTTGCCAAATAAGGAAATGGGAAGAAGTGAGAAATTAATTTCGGGAATGCCCAAAAAGGAAAGTGAGAAGTTGTTTACTGGACAAAGGGAGTACAATAATAAATAAATAACAGAAATACCTTGACGATAGATAAATAGAGAATCATCAGACTTACTACACACAAAATTATGAGCAAGTAAGAAACTAGTGAACCTATGAAACCATGCCCGCGAGGCCTGTTTAAGACCATAAATGGTCTTGCGCAGACGAAACAAGTGATGAGGAAATTGGGGGTGAATAAAGTTCCGCGCTGACGCATATAGACCTCTTCTGTGAGATGACCATGAAGAAAAGCATTTTAAACATCGAGCTGATGCATAACCCACCCAAAAGAAATAGCTAAAGTAAGAACAGTACGAACAATGGTGGATTTAATGACAGAACTAAAAGTTTCAGAGAAATCCACACCAGTCTGCTGATAAAAACCATGATCAACTAATCTTGCCTTGTGGCGCTCAATATATCCATCCGAAAGATATTTCGTCTTATAAATCCACTTAGACCCAACAATATTTTTAGAGATCAAACAGTACCAAATCCCAAGTATGGTTAGCAATAAGCGCATTAAATTCCTCAGCCATAGTCTCACGTCATTTCAATTGTTTATTTGCCTCATAAAAACAAGTAGGATCTGCTCATAAAAACAAATTAAAAATAGGTTTGGGCTTAAAATTATAGTTTTTGACCGAGTTAACATCAGATGGACATTTTCAGGGGGATGAGCGCTGAAGCAGGTAGTGTGGCGGGGCTAGGTGTGGTTGGTAAGGATGAAGTGATGGATAGGCTGACTGAGGGTGTTGGGCTGGGTTCGGTCAGTGGGGCAGTGAAGAAGGAGAGCTAGGTTCTGCCGTGGGGTTGTTGTGTTGGGCTGCCGTCGGTGTACAGGGGTCGGCTGACTGGGAGGGTAGCTTGGGTGAACTGGGCTGTAGACCAGGAGGGAGTTCGGGCTGCTGGGTTGGATTGGGGGTTATTTTGGGCTGTTAGTTTGGAGTGGGGGGGGGGGGGGGGGTATTCCGGACTATTGGGTTGGACTGGGGGAAGTGGGTCGACGGCCAGGTTCGGTCCAGGGAAGGTCCAGAGACTGGTTTGGCTGAGAAGAAGGGGCTGGACTGGAAGTTAATTGGTTCCACGAGGAAAACAGAATAGTGCACTCGGTGGATTGGTTCGGGGAAGAAGTCAAAGTGGTGAATGGAAAAATATTTTCATGAAAACGCACATGATGACTAATGTAAATCTTGCAAGAAATAGGATCAAAACAATGATAACCTTTGTAACAAGATGTGGCATAACCCAGAAAAACACATTGAAGAGATTTAGGAGAAAGTTTATTTGAAGATGTGGCAGAAATATTTGAAAAAAAGCAGAACTAGAAACACGTAAAAAGGAATAATCACGAGATCTTTGAAATATTTTTTCATAAGGAAAGAGACCAAACAAAGTAGGAGTGTGTAATCTATTAATAATATATATGCATCCGTAAAAATAAAATCAACCCAAAAATAACTAGGAAGAGAAGCCTCAATAGTCCTAGTAAGTTCAAGAAGATGTATGACGATGTTTACGCTCAACAACCCCATTTTATTGAGGAGTGTAGGGACAAAATTTTTGAAAATAAATTCCATGAGAATGCTAGGCTAGATGGTGGATTCAGGCTGAGAGGATAGAGATGGTCATTAGTTGTTGGTCGAAGAAGAACCGCCCCCGAAATGTTGTCCTTAAGAAAAAATTGATTTTTTTTGTCAAAAATAGCAACACAATTGTTACCAGCACACAATTTTTGAATTGAAATTAAATTGAATTTAATATTAGACACATGATAAACAGATTTTAATAGCAGTGGGCGGCCAGAAGCTTTTAAAGAAATATTACCAACATGTTTTATGGGAAGATTAACACCATTAGCAACACTAACAACAGTTGGGCCAAAGTAAGTAGACTTATTAATTTAAATACCTTCAGAGGGGGTCATGTGAGCAGAGGCACCACAATCTGGATGCCATAGGGCTTCATTAGCTTGACCAGTGAGAAGAGAAGGTGCAAACGGTTAAGTAAAATGGGATGGACAATGGAGGGCAGAATGACCTCCATAAAAACTTATCTGACACACAACAGGAGGGGGATGGGCCCCAAGATTTCCCTCATCAGATGAAGAGCCTGCAAGCTTAACATTAGAACCATAAAATAATGTAGCATTAACATTTAAAGTGGACAAAACAGAATTACTAATAGCACCTGCATTAGGAGGTCTCAACTGTTGGTGCGATCCCTTCTTCTGACCGAACATCTAGTCATGATTAGGCTGCCCCAGCTGCTGTCCCATGCCATGATTATGGTGTTGGCCGTATCCGTGGTAGTGGCGGCCTCTACCGCGGCCTCCCATGTCGTGACCTCTACGGCCACGCTGTGCAACAACGCCTTCTTGTACGCCGAATGCCTGATAAACAGGAGGAGGAGCATGCTGACGAAGGAAAAGAACCTGTTGTTCTGCTTTTAAGAGGCTCGGATGAAGGACGTCCAGTGGAAAATTGTCAGGAAATAGGGAAATAGTGCCAATAGTGGACTCATACTCCGACCCCAAGCCCACAAGATAAGAGTGGTCTGAAGAAATTTCTTTATTGGTCACCAGAGAGTTAATTGCCGCCAGTTCATCTACTAAGAGTTTAATTTCCCTTATATAATTTTCCATAGACTGATTTTCCTTCTTTTTATAATATGGGACAACAGACACTTAAGTTTTATAGATCTAGCCAGACTAGTCGACCTAAAACGAGTTTGTAATCGATCTCAAATCCCAATGGAATGTTGGACATCATGTACATCTATTAATACGGCACGTGTAAGAGTAGCAAAAAGGCAGGGACGAATTGTTTGATCAACCCGCAATCAATGGTAATAATCAGTATTTAATGATTTGGCGATTATTAAAACCAACTGTGTACATTGGAGGTACTTGTGTAGAACCATCCATGAAGCCAAACAAACCTTGATAGACCAGGAAGGATTCAAACTGAGTGCACTAGGTGATATAGTCTTCCACCACCTTCAACTTTATGATAACAATGTGAGTAATGTTCGAGACCGGAGAGATGGACTGTGCAGCGGCAGCCATCGGTGACTAGAATAAAGAATGATCTGCTGGCCGAGAGATGCCTGGAGCGCCAGAGAAGATCGAACCAAAGTAACCCGGAGTGGAGCTTGGTGGCGGAGGACCTCTGGCCATCGGCGACTGGAAGACGCTGGGCTGCTGGCATGGAAAACCTGCACGAATTGTCTCGAACAGGGAGTAAGCAACATGAACGTCTGCCACAAAAGGAGATGCAACGCTGGGGATGGTTGGCGTCCGGAGGCAGGAGGAAGGCAGCGGCGACACCGTCGTAGTTGCGGCGGCGGTTGTTTTGTAGACGGCAGCTTCAGTACAAGAGGTGATGACCGGCGCCGTAGTTGAAGAAACAGAGGTATCCGTTGATTCTGCCATGGAGGAAGAAGTTGCGGCGATGGTTGTGGTGGCTGCCGTATGGAGAGAAGCGGCAGAGGTGTGCACCGAAGACATGGCAACGACTGAGGTTAACAAAGAGAGAGAAAAAAAACAGGCTCGTGATACCACGTGAAAAATGGGAAAGAGTGCTCCCAATGGGAGCCCTAACAAATATATTTATAATAGAGAGTTAACAAAAATACAAAGTATTCCTAATTTAATATTAGGCTATTATTACAAACACCATTTATTACGCTGCAAATACATATTAGTGCAGATTTACAATAAACGATCGACCTGTCTGACCCGCGGTTGAACCAGTTGACTCGCGACCTAGTGTTCCAAACGGGTCATTGTCTGGTCTGGTCCGGTTTCTTAAAGGTAGCTAGTAACCCCAAACTCATAAGTTGTGATTGCAATAAAATGTGAAATTTGACTTTGCCCCCATTTTTAGATATCCGGTTTTAGACTTTAAAAATCATTAATATTTTATCCATCAATCTAAAAAATCATTAATATTTTAGATATTGGTTTTTACACGTAGTAATCCGTATATAAAAGTGAAATAAAAACATTCTTTTTGTTTGTGAAATATGAAAATGTAGTTTGGCAAAGAGGGGCAAGAGACATTATGTAAGAAGCAACCATAGATGTTGAGGCGATTAAGGCCATATTTTTCTCATCACCACATACCACGGAACTGACTCAACCACTCTCTGCTCTATCAATCTTTTATGCTTCACACCTCTCCCAGTTTGCATCAAACACTTCCACTCATCATAAATATAATAAAAAATAAATAAATAAATAAAGTTTCTTAATTTAATTAGGAAATACTCCACTAGCTAATTTTCATTCATTCATTGGATTTGATTTTCGTAACATTCTCCGCTGGTCGATCCGGCCAGGCCTACATACTGCAGCGCAGCGCTGGATACATTCTCCGCTCCGCTCCGCTCCGGCTAATTCCATCCATCCGCTAGCCAGGTACGTAGCGCGATCGGGCCCGCAGGCAGCCGGCCGGCCGGCCTTCTTCCATCCGCTCCCGTCCGGCCAATGTCTATGAGAGCCGCACCGCCACCCGCGCAATATGTTTCTCCCCCGCCGGTTACGCTTCTCCTCATAGCCTTCCTCCTCGTCTTCTTCTTCTTGGGCATCTTCTTCGTCATCTTTTGCAAGTACTGCATACAGAGCTTGTGGCACAACCGCCGCAACACTCAGGTCGGAGCCCCCGACGGCAACCCCGCCGCCGCCATGCCCCCCGGTATCGACCCCAAGATCATCGACTCTTTCCCCACCTTCACCTACTCGAGCGTCAAGGACTACCGCAAAGAGAAGTATGGGCTGGAGTGTGCCATCTGTCTCGTTGAGTTTGAGGACGAGAGTCTTCTGCGCCTCTTGACCTCCTGCAGCCACGTGTTTCACCAGGAGTGCATTGACCTTTGGATGGAATCTCACAAGACTTGCCCAGTCTGCCGCCGGGCCCTCGACTCACCGCCGCCCGCCTCTCCCTATTCTTCGGCGCCGGGAGGAGGCCGCAGCAGTGTCGATGATGATGAAAACTTTCAAGAAGAATGTGATCATGCCCATGATGATGATGATGATGAGGTAGTGCGTGACGACATGCATCATCATAGCATCACAATAATCCATGATGATGATGATGATGTGAATGACGACCTCAGAAATAATAGAGGGGAAGGAGGAGCAAGTGTTGAGCATATAAGTAATCATCCTCAGCAAGGAAATACTTCCCTACACAAATATGTTGTAACCACATTAAATACTAAAAACAACAATTATTACCATTGTAAGAACAACGAGCTGGATAGTAATAGGAGTAGTAGTACTGTAATTAGGGAGGAGGAAGAGAAGTTCCCAAGGTCCCATTCCACCGGGCATTCAATTGTTAAGATTAGAGAAGACGAGGACAGGTTTACTTTAAGAATACCTCCGCACGTCCGGGCCAAAATTATTAGGGGCCACACTGTCACCAAGAGTTGCACCACCTTTGGAGAACACAAAAATAAAACAACCTCAGGAAACAGAAGAATATGTAGTAGTAGTGGTTTTAGTCAGGTTTGATCCCTGCATGCATGCATGCTTTTATTATAGAAGTACTTGATTATAGTAGCCTCTTTTTCCATATATACTTCTCGTACTATTTTCTCTTATTTCATTCCTAACTCTTTCTTTCATTCTTCTCCTGATTTTTTCAATTTTGTTGCTTGTGAAAGTATATACTATCCTTGGTATCACATTAGTTGTAACATTGGAATACATACACTATTCATGTACTTTACTTTGACTACATTTCATTTACTAATGCATGTGAATTATTATTTTTAAAAAAATATTGTTAAATTCGTCTCATTACTAAGTTTTATAATCTGATTTTTATTTTATTTTTACTATTACGGAATTAAATATAATGACAGTCAAAGTTGTGCGTTGGCAAACGTGAAAAAGGGAATGTTGCAACTAAAAAAGAACTGAAGAAGTATATATATTGAAGCATGATGAATATATGTGAATTCAGAAATATATGTATATATACAATCAAATTGCAACTTTCTGTCTTACTTTTCCTACTAACTTTCTACCGTACTACTTTCAGGTTTTTATCTCACAAAACAATTATTAATAGGTATCTCGATACAAGGTACACTCAAAACGGATAACGGGTGAATGAGAAATTGATTCTCGAAATTCACTCGTTGAAATAAAAAAACTGGGAAAATGATGGGTTTCTAGTGGGATTTTCACCCGGAAAACCCAAGGGATTTTCACCACCTTATAGGGAACCCTCTTTGAAGGAGTTAAGATTCCTACGGGGTAAGGCTCTCTTCACGGGGGGGGGGGGGGGGGGGGGAGGGTGCCGATCAAATCCCGAAAACGGAGAAGAAAAACCGCGACTTGCGTGCGCGGGCGACCTTCGGATACGAATGCCGTCCGAAAAGCTATCATTCAAAGATACAATTTAATTTTTTGTTCTTCCCGTAATGTTTTATTTTTGCCCAGAACCAGAACTGCTCCGCTTTCAGTTGGCTTCCGGACCAGAAGACCTGAGAGGGTTTCTGTTGGCTTCGGGACCAGAACACCTCGTAGGGTGTTCTGGTGGGGGTATTCTGGTCGCGCAGCTGAAGAATTCCGAACCGCTACAACAATAAATGCCCAACATTCATATGCCTTTATGCAGCGTTGAATGGACATGCAGTTCATGGACGATTCAATGCCCAACGGACTGGTCATTGATGTCCAACGTTCATGTATTTTAACTATCCCATTAACACACAACATATCCTCCTATAAATAGCTGGCAGGTGCTTTGCAACAGCACATGCGATCATACACTGTCTGCACGTATTTTGAGCTCTAAAAACACCTCCAGTTTCCTGAAAAATTCCTAAGTGTTCTTCTTCTGTTTCCATTCATCAGAACTTTCGTTTGTGTGCTCAAACGTTAGTTCGTTAGCCATTGTATCCTGGGAAACCGGTCGTTTCCACGCTCCTAGCACCGTGGGAGATGACGAATACGTTTTAAGGACATCATGCGTAGGACGAGCTCTAGCAAAATGTCGCTTCATCTATTTTCTGTTTTCTTTAGTCATTTTTAATTAATTAATTTTTACTAATTATTTTCTTTGTTTTTCGAAACACACACAACACCACAAACACCATCCTTGTTAGACAAAAATTGTAATTCAAAATCCAATTTTTTATTCTAATAAGATTTATATGGTCAAACAAGGCATAAGTTATTTAAAAAGCCGTGATTGATGTGTGCCTTTTAAACTCTTTACCTTCAAATAATTATCATTTGATTTGTTATTTCTTACGCTTTAATATATTAGTGCTTTTTTTAGAGCATTTACAATTATAAAATTAAAATTATTTTTCCTTGTGGATCGCCTAGCTGGGAGGTAACCGGAATCCGAGTAAAGTAAAAGAGAAGAGCTGATCGGAAAGTTCAAGTAAATATTTTAGCAGAGTAACAACAAGAGAATACGTAAATCGATCCATTTCCATCCAAAGTTTGGAAGGTGATATTTATACTAAGAAGGCAATACTTGGTGCCCAAGTAAAAAAGACGGTGATATAATGGGGAGAGGACACGTGTCCAATCCGTTCTAACAAACTACCAGACTAAGTCGATGGGGTGCAGCGATGTGTAAAGGTGATTGGAGAGATAGTTGGGAAAGCTGGCTGATTGGAACTGCCCCTAACAAACTGCTACCTGAATGCTCGTGTGGTTACACGTGTATAATTTGGGACATTCTTTCTGCCCGCTGCCAGGGATGACGTGGTCTCCTTCAGGAGTAGTGGTTAGGTGGCAGTATCTTTGTGTGATGCCTGTCTCCGTGTATTTGTCTAAGTCCACAATGCTTTAATCAGACCTCGAGCTCACTGAGGCCAGTACTTGGGTGCTCAGGCTCATCACTGGGGAATGCGCCTAACCTATTGCTTCTAGTTGTATCTTTGAGGTCGTTGACTCCTCTGTTTGACTCTGGTTGACCTGGTGTTATCGCCCGGGGTCAAAGTTGGTACCGAGCTCGGTGCATTTGAGGTCGGGCTCGATCATAACTTGTCATGTTTGAGCGGTTCCTGAGCTTGGTATTTTCCCGATCTCGGGGGTCGGGGTTGGTTGGCCTTCGGTCCTTATTTGTTTTTGTTGCCTGGCGCTTTGCCCCGACCTTGGTGGGTCGGGGTCGGGGTCGGTCCCAGTTATGGACTTAGTACTTTTATGCGTCCTGGGATGAATCCGTGAAGTGAATCACCGGCGATTATGATACCCTTGGGGTATATGGGAATATACTCCATCATGAGTACTCCACTCTCCGAAGCTAAAGTAGCACTTGAGGTGAGAGACAGTAATTCTCCAATCTTCAGGGCTGGCGCGCCCGGCGGGGGTGCTGCTCTCTATGGTCATGACAAAGGGGTACCTCATTAAAAACTCCGCTGAGGAAAAACTCTGTGGGAAAAAATCCTAATGGAGGAAAAAGAATATACCCCACTCTGCCATGAATTCCAAAGAGGAAAACGACACCCCACTGTAAGTAAACCCGAGCTCGAGATCCATGCTTTTCGTATTCCATACCTGCTTCATGGGTTAGTTGCTACATCCACGGCCCCGACCGTGGCTTGACAGAAAAGATTTTGTTTTTCGAAAAAATGTAAAGAATTTGGAGTGTGTGCGTGAAGGGTTTGCTTCTAAGATATACCTGCTTAGCGCTGGCCCTGAGGTTATTGTGTTGTTCTGAGCTCTTTGTAGTAATGATGTCTCATTTTTTGATTTCTTCCCGAGTCCCCCACTTACGAGTCCCCCACTCTTGTGGACTTAGAAAAATTTCTAAGTGTAGAAGAGTATGAGCTTGAGAGGGACGAGGTAGTTATCTTTAGTACTTGGTGGACTTAGGAGAATTTGGAGGCATGTAGTAACGTTGATGTGTACAAATAGGAATCTTTACACATTCCATTTTGCAACATATTTGTTTAATAGCCGTTTTTTCCATTGAATGTGGGCTATGCTTTTGAAGTGACTATATGGTGCCATCATTACGTCTTTTGCACGGTTTTTGATAAAACCCTTTCAGTTTTTCGTGCAGTTGGTTTTCTGCTAGACACGTGTCAGCTTCCCATTTGATTTGAGGGGAAGTATAAAAGGCGAAAGCTTTTTCCTTTCTCCTTTGCGCTTTCTTTGTATTCGAATATTCAGAGCATACAACAATTCAGAGCTTTCTTCTTCTCCGGCTAGTACTTGCGTTTGCTTTCACCGCCGACTACCTCTTTACCAGGTTAGTCTCCGGGCACAGATTTCATATCTTGTTTGTTGCAGTTTCGTCGAAAATCCAGAACGAGGGTTTTTCCGTCAAACTGGTGTTGCGAGCATTGGGGCTTTGCAGTCCCCCATTGCGGTTGAGGCTTGTACCTCTGGACTCGGAATCGTACACTGATGTCGATTCGAGTGTTTGATTTTTGTTTGGGGGTCGGATTTTTGTTCCTTAACCCCGGTTTTTGATTTTCTGCATGCGTGTGATCATTTTGCAGATTTGAAAAAATGTCTTCTCACTGTGCTTCTACTAACACCGGAGACATGGCCAACAATGACCTTCCCCTTGGGTATGATGATGATGCCACTCTGACGGAGGCCGGTTTGAACGAGGACATTGCAGATGTGAACTTTGCACTTGAGGTTGCACCATTGAATGCGCAACAAGGGCGTAGGGGGCCTGGCAAGAAGCGGTACAAAGATACCCGTGAGTACTTCGTGTTGGATAGATTCATTGAGTCCGAGGTCCCTTGTTCCCTGTCGGATAGGGAGTGGGAAGAACCAAAATGATGGATCGCCTAGTTGGGAGGTAGCCGGAATCCGAGTAAAGTAAAAGAGAAGAGCTGATCGGAAAGTTCAGGTAAATATTTTAGCAGAGTAACATCAAGAGAATACAGAAATCGATCCCTTTCCACAGTTTGGAAGGCAATATTTATACTAAGAAGGCAATACTTGGTGCCCAAGTAATAAAGATGTTGATCTAATGGGGAGAGGACACATGACCAATCCGTTCTAACTAACTACGAGACTAAGTCGATGGGGTGCAGTCATGTGTAAAGGCGATTGGAGAGATAGTTGAGACAACTGGCTGATTAGAACTGCCCCTAACAAACTGCTACCCGAATGCTCATGTGGTTACATGTGTATAATTTGGGACATTCTTTCTGCCCGCTGCCAGGGATGACGTGGCCTCCTTCAGGAGTAATGGTTATGTGGCAGTATCCTCGTGTGATGTCTGTCTCCATGTATTTGTCTAAGTCCACAATGCTTTAATCACACCGCGAGCTCACTCAGGTCAGTACTTTGGTGCTCGGGCTCATCGTTGGGGAATGCGCCTATTGCTTCTAGTTCTATCTTTGAGGTCGTTGACTCCTCTGTTTGACTCTGGTTGATCTTGTGTTATCGCCCGGGGTCAAAGTTGGTGTCGAGCTCGATGCATTCGAGGTCGGGCTCATAACTTCTCGTGTTTGAGCGGTTCCTGAGCCTAGTATTTTCTCGACCTCGGGGGTCGAGGTCGGGTTCGGCTGGCCTTCGGTCCTTATTTGTTTGTGTTGCATGGCGCTTTGCCCCGACCTTGGTGGGTCGGGGTCGGTCTCAGT